GACTGATTTTTCAAGAGCCACAGAATAGTTTGTGCTATGACTATGTATACACCGAACACACCAAAAGAAAGAGTAGACTCTCTTCTTTCATCAGGAAAAGAAATGTGTTTCTACCTTATTCCGTTCTTCCTGGACTTGCGTCTCACCGGCGACATGTTCTCTCATAGAACCGTTCCCTTTTTCTTATTTGCCTACAGTCTATGCTCATCTCCCATCAAAAGTGGCACTGCCCCCTAGAGGGTCAATTTGTTACTACATACTCTGTCTAGAAGCCCATATTTACGGACAAGCTTTAGCAGATCGTCCCCCAGACACTCTCGCTAAAAACATAAAAGACTCTATAGACGTCTTTGGCAGCCAATGAGTTAATACTTTGTACAACAAGACAGATCTTAATCTCCTCTTATAACATTTCACCAGACTGGAGAACACAGAGAGAGGGGTCTTTGACCATTCCTCTTTGCAAGAACTACAGAAAAAATATATTTAAAGGAAATCAATTACATTTTTCAGCTTAACTGTTAGAGGGGCCAATTGATGTGGGACACATGATTTAACATTTTTTATTCTTACCACCAAAATAATGTACCTAAATAAAGGGTTGGATTTTTCTCTTTTTTCGCATTTGGGTTCTATGTTGTTTTAACAAAAAGGAGAATTTTCAGAAGTCCTCAACAACATCTTAAACAAGGGTGCCTATAATTGTGGAGGGCACTGTATGTCTTATGTAGACTTTCAAATAAAACAGTTTAAAGTTTTTGTTATTTGTATTTGAATGTGTATTTTCCACTGGCTGCTTGAAAATCAAAAATGGAAAACATGTTCAGGTGTATTCCATTTGACTTAAATACTTTGAGTCAACTGGGCTCCAGTATATAAATTTGGGTATATCTCTCAGGTGGTAGATGGAGTGAAAAACGCTGGGCCACTATGTCGGTAGCCTCTTTTATCACTTCTGGAGATGTTATATGTGGTTGCTTTCAATAGAAGCAGACACACATAATTCAATTTTCTCTCTACAGGACTGTCTCAGAAAATTAGAATATGGTGATGAAGCTCTTTATTTTCTGTAATGCAATTAAAAATCATGAAATGTCATACATTCTGGATTCATTACAAATCAACTGAAATATCGCAAGCCTTTTATTGTTTTAATATCGCTGATTATGGCGTACAGCTGAAGAAAACTAAAAAATCCCATATTCTAATATTTTGAGATAGGATATTTGGGTTTCTTAAGCTGTAAGCCATAATCAGCGTACAGCTAACATTACAGATTGTCTTCGATTTTTTTTGTCCTGAAAACTCTGACTTTGCCCCGTTTTCTGCTCTATGTCTCTCTCCAGGAGCATGGCATACCAACAGATATGGGCTATGCAGTAGCTCCACACCACTCGGGTGTTTATCCTGTTCACAGCCAACTTTACGAGGCATGGAAGTCTGTGTGGGGAATCAGAGTGACCAGCACTGAAGAATACCCCCATCTGAGGCCTGCCCGATACCGCCGAGGCTTCATCCACAATGGAATCCAGGTGTGTAGATACTCTGAGTATTTACATTTTAGTTGTGTGTCTATTCAGTCTTTTCTTCATGAAAAAAAAACAAACGCCTTCACAGAGCTAATCCCAATTTTCCAACCCATTGTTCCCCAGTTTACTGGTGACAAAAACAGCTCACTGATACTTATCCTGCACTCTTAACTCATTGGCTGCCAAAGACGTCTATAGAGGTCTTTTATGTTTTAAACGAGAGTGTCTGGGGGACGATCTGCTAAAGCTTGTCCGTAAATATGGGCTTCTAGACAGAGTATGTAGTAACAAATTGACCCTCTAGGGGGCAGTGCCACTTTTGATGGGAGATGAGCATAGACTGTAGGCAAATAAGAAAAAGGGAACGGTTCTATGAGAGAACATGTCGCCGGTGAGACGCAAGTCCAAGAAGAACGGAATAAGGTAGAAACACTTTTTTTTTCCTGATGAAAGAA